GGGGGGCGTGGGGGAGAGCTATAATTTCGCTTTAATAAAATAGATGCTTAACGTATTAACATTAATAAATCAGGTGTAAATGTCCAAATGTCCATAAGTGGTCTGAAAGAGTAACATCCTAAATTGTTTTTTTAAGAATTGATACTAAAAGTTCCTTCAAGCAATGTTTCTGTGACAAAGAAAAGCATTCCTTTAAGTCTTCATCCCATATTTTGCAAAAGTGTTGTATGGAAGCAAATGATCAACACCATATCATAATGGTAGTTCAATTATGAGAGAGGCAAAACAGCTGGTGCTAGAAAGTAAAAGAACACACTACCAGCACCCCTCTCAAACTTAAGCTCAGTCTTAATAAATTGTAAGTCTAAATAAAAATAACAACCTCATCCACCCATGCACAATGCATGATATTTGTCTTAATAAATTATTTGAAAGGTCTAAGTAATACTAATAATTATGTGCTTAGTGCCCACATATTTGAAACAAAACAGAACAAAAATCTCGTCTTTCCCTTGCCTTATGCAGCCATTGTAAAGGATCAGAATTACTTACGGGACTTCGGGCTCTGGAGGGACCACAACGATCGTGTCCAATACTTCCTTCAGTGCCTCGGCATCCTCTGTCAGCTCCTCTCCTTCCTCCTGACCCTCCTCACCATCACCGTTCTCCTGTCCGTCAAGGTTGAGACCATCCCCATCTCCTACGTCACCGGTTGCAGACAAAGGTTTTTCATCAGAAGCCGCATCGGAAACAAGTTTTTCAGATTCACCCTCGGCAGAAGGCTCGGGTTGTGTTTCGGACTCCATTTTGAAAGTTTATCGTGACCGAACTACCGCTGACTTAAACAAATCCGCAGCCATAGTAACAGAGGAGATATAGCGCCTATGATTCCGTATTACTACAAAATGCCAGAATTGTAAAGTAAAAATAATTTTTGCAAGGATAAAGTTTCAAAAGGGCAGATTTATTTATTATTAGAAACAAACTTCAAGCTGCCAAAATGTAAGGTTAACTTCGATCGGCGGAGTACTAAGATAGCATGTGATTAGTTTCGCACTTTTCGCAGTTTTGTTCTGAATAAAATTCATTGTTCATGCAATTACTTTGTATGCCGCTGATACAACTGAATGTACCATAATCCACAAACTAACTGCTGTGGATCATTCTCTTGTTTTGTGCTTCTCTGCTCTGGGAATATCGGTGGGAATCTCTCTCTCTCTCTCTCTCTCTCTCTCTCTCTCTCTCTCTCTCTCTCTC